AGTTGAACGCAGTAATTAATTTGCACATAGCAATGTTCCCACAAACAATCGTTATGTGGAGTCCTGCAGCTCAGTGGTTAGAGCACTCGCTTTGCAAGTGAGAGACCTGAGTTCAATCCCCGGCAGGTCAGGGCGAAACCTTGGGCAAGTTTCCTTACTCCACACAGAGCCTAATAATAATCCCTCCAAAACCTCAAACAATAATAAATTGGTCATTTTCAATCTACGACTGTTTGTGGGACATTGCTGTGCGCAATTGGCTGCCGCGTTCGCCCACAAATATACAGTCAATTCACTTTACAGTGTGTTCTGTGAAGCGCTTTGGGATGTCCTCCCGACGGAAAAGCGCTATATCAAATGCAAGGATTATTATTATTATTATTATGTGAATGAGTAATTGTATCTGAACAATTGTTACCTGGGACACCAGGAGAAATTAATTTCTCTTTTGTATAGTGGCATTGGATCTTTAATGCCCACCTGAACATTTAGACAGACCCTGGTTAATTTCTCATCTGAAGTACACCTCTAACAGTACAACACTTTGTAATTGTAATAACTATAAGACCTCAGTAACCAAAGCTGTGTGCCAGAGAGATCATGTGTAGTGAAATAAAATGGTTTATTGACTTAAAAAATAAATAGTACATGACTTGAACAGCATTGGAAAACAGAAATTAACAATATGTAATGAATAACATTCTTCATAAAGCATAATTGTCAGTTGAGTTACAATAAATATTTTTAAAGCACTTCAATCGTATTGTGTGGCAGGATGTGTAATTATTGTTGGCTTGGACCTGGACCACTATATGGCAGCCAATCACAAATGGTCCTAATGATTTGCCAATGACACTGATCTGTAAACCCTGCCGCGAATTGGTCCCCATAACTTGATACTGATCTGAAATTCAGTCACAGTAAAGGAGATGTTTGCTTTCAGTTGCTAGCAATGAACATGTTACTGTTGCTCTGAGATCACATTGAGCAAGGCAGGTACTACATTGTTCTGTGGAAATAATCCATTGATTTGAATGGCACACGGGTGTTGGTATCAATGATTAGCAGGTTCTACGTGTGGACGGTTCTGCTTTAAGATCCCCAGGGTACACGTGAAACCGCTTTGTGGTTTATGTTTTCTTCCCCAATTCCCAGCAATGTGCGCTCAGCCATTGATATCGACAGCCACAAATACTGAGCACAGGGCAAAGTGTCGGCACAACTCACTGCTGGCCTGTGTGATATCATCCGTCCAATCGCAGCAAAGTACCAACTGGACCTTTATATTGTGCAATTGAAGCCCTGTCCTGCTGTCACGCTCATCAAATCGCTTTTCTTTCCTGAGGGACAAGAACCAGCTGAGCTGCTGTTCGATGGTGACTACTATTGTGAATGTAACTGTCATGATTAGATTGTAAAGAAACACTCTCTCCCCTGGAGTCCACCCGCAACCAATGTGATCTATCTGCTGAAGTTTCTCGTAAATGGACCAGAAATAAGATAAAATAATGAGTAACAATTCATATTAATTTTACAAAAATTCTAAAATCTCGTCTGGACTTTTCAGATACAATAAATGTTTATACCAAACCAAGATTGCTCACTATTGTTAAATAAACATCAGCTTCCAACTCGCCAGTTGGTGGTAAGGTTAGGCTAGAAGCAGGTCTGATCTCACTAAAGCCAATCTAATCCTGGTTCCCAGTCTCTGCCGGATTTTGTTTTTGATGATCAGCCATGGTTCTGACCTGATGCTATCCTTTAGCTTCACACCTGGTACCTGGTTACATTCACATTAAACTAAGACTCACCAACACAGAGTGAGTGCATTGTGAGCTGAGCAGCTACGCAATGAATTTGCAATTGAACACAGTTCAGATATCCAAACAAAACTGGTGCATTCGGGATTATTCCATTAAAATATGTTGTCTGCAACATATTTTACGACGTATCTTGCGACAAGGACTTGTCGACTCCATGAACAAATGAAGAACTGAGCCACCATCATTGGTTTACAGTGAGGTGGCTGAACTGAGACAAAGTTTTTTTCTTGCTGTTTGTGACATTTATTGTCGCCTAATGTGGCCTAAACATACATGCAGGCTGGGTGGGCCATTTGTAAACTAAAAGCACCAACGTGCAACGACAATCAGGGCTGCTAAAATAACAGGAGAGCGAGAGATCGACAAAAGCCACTCAAACTCACTGTGACTGTGGTGATGATCAGTAAGAATACCAGACTCAAATTGGAGGGCGCAATTTATCATTTGGCCCAAACTTCTCAATGTTTGAATTTACTGAACATGAAGTGTTAGAAACCCAATGAAGTACATGATAATTACTCCCACTACATGGACCATAGACATCAGTTTCCCTCTATCAGTTTCCATCTTTGATCTGCACAATGTCTGAGCTGGTCACAGATCAGTTCCTGTAGCAACAACTGGAACGCATCCTCAACGGAACGTTTGGAGAATTGAATGCTGATCTGCATTGAAATGACAGTAACCTGTGGAGCAGAGGTCGCGCTTTCAATTACAAACCATCTCATTAATTGAGGTCAAGTTTAAAAATATCTTCATATGATCTCAATATAGCATCTGAACAAACTCCAGCCCAAGTCTTGATCTATCCAACATATGGCAGAAAGCCAATCTTAAAGATTTTGACATCAATCTAAATATCAGATGAAAACTCTGATTTGAATGTTGGAGTGGAAAAGCCTCAGACTCTGACTTACACAGAGTGTTGTTGGGAAGTGGATATGATGGACTTTACCGAGGCTCCTCCAAAGGTGAAATCTTTTTAACATGTACAAACCACACACTGGGTAATGCAAGTCTCCTCTAAGGAACCAAATCGTGGGTTACTTCTCCCAGCTCAGACCATATCCAGACACCACCTCAACGCAGCTGGCAGCTCCCACCCTCTCCTTTACCCACCTCCATGCCGCTTCCAAATTGTGCGGAGCAAATCTCAGATCAGACAAAGCAACAACTTGCATCCTTCACACGGACAGTGTCTGAGACACAAGTGACGTTGGGGCAGATTACAGTTTAATTGTCCCCAATCCCTTGGTTCTTATTCTTCCAGCAAAGTGAGTGAGAGGCCAGGTATTTACAGGCAATGATTCACTGGGGGCAGGTACACTGGGGGCGAGTATACTGGGGTGGATACTCATGGCAGGTACACACGGCGGGTATAATGGGGGCAGGTACACTGGGGGCGAGTATACATGGTGGGCACACTGGGGCGGGCGCAGTGGGGGTGGGCACAGTGGGGGTGGGCACAGTGGGGGTGGGCACTCAGTGGCCAACTTTACACTTAAAAAAGGACAAATGTGCTGCTGGCATCACTTCCTGCTCCTCGCATCGAGCCACAGAACGTGGTGTCAGTCGGCGCTCTCACAAGGCACACGTTGGCCATTTTTCCATATGTTGTTATAGCGGCAGCTCCGGACATGTTGGACACAAATGACTGTCCTCGAACAGTGCTGCGCTGTACATCTGCCCCATTGAATAAGGTACTGAGGTGGTAAATATTCATATAACTTCACACTGTGTACACACAGCATCAGGCACTGGAATGCATGATCTGAAAGGCCGGGGGAAGCCGATTCAATAACTTTTAAGAGAGAAGTAGATCATTATTTGGGGACGACAAGTTTGCAGAGCTATGGGGAGAGAGTGGGTTTGATCAGGGCTATGGGGAGAGTGGGGGGGTGGGGTTGATCAGGGCTATGGAGAGAGAGTGGGGGGTTGGGGTTGATCAAGGCTATGGGGAGAGAGTGGGGTTGTGGGGTTGATCGGGGCTATGGGGAGAGAGTGGGGGAGTGGGGTTGATCAGGGCTATGGGGAGAGAGTGGGGGGGGTGGGGTTGATCAGGGCTATGGGGAGAGAGTGGGGGAGTGGGGTTGATCGGGGCTATGGGGAGAGAGTGGGGGGGTGGGGTTGATCAGGGCTATGGGGAGAGAGTGGGGGAGTGGGGTTGATCAGGGCTATGGGGAGAGAGTGGGGGGGTGGAGTTGATCAGGGCTATGGGGAGAGAGTGGGGGAGTGGGGTTGATCGGGGCTATGGGGAGAGAGTGGGGGAGTGGGGTTAATTTGGAAGCTCTTTTCAAAGAGCGGCACAGACACAATGAGCCGAATGGCCTCCTTTTGTGCTGTATCATTCTGTGATTCTGATACCCACTGAGATCCTGTTTATATTACTCCAACAAAGAATTCAGCCCACAGATCAGCAAAGCATCACTTCCTGCTGGACAGGAAGGATATCGAGCTCCACTCTCTACAGATTCAGTGCAGATATGAAGGCCCCATTTCTCTCACCAGGAATCTTCTCCCCTCTCTTTTGCTAAACAGTCTCACTTGTGAACAGAACAGAAAGATCAGCCATTTCAAGGATGGCAACAGAATTTGAAAGCAAACTTGGGGTCACACTGCTCAACTTCACTGTGAAAAGCCCTTAATAATAATAATCCTCGCGTTTGATATAGCATCTTATCAGGTGTCCGAGACGTCTTTTGTGGAGACCACACAAGACCAGAAGGACCTTTGCTTTTTTTACCCCTCTGTCCCCCCTCCACCCACCGTCCCCTCCTCTCTCCCCCCCACCCACCTTTCCCAAAAAGCTTTTTGAAATTCATGTTCACACAAGGCAGCCATTGGCAGCCATTAAAAATGGGGAGAAAATTGGAAATTTAAAGAGAGATGGCGAATAAACTACAGGTTATCAACATTAGACTACAGTTGGTTCAATCGCTGACACTTGCCATGATGTCTCAGCCGCAGCTCCTTCAACAGCAAAGTGACAGCAGAAACTCCTGGTCACACATGTCACGGTTAAGATGAACCGTATCAAAGGCCGGAGAGTGAGTGCACCGACCGAGCCTATACTTGCTCTGGATGAGGCAGAGACAGGTTTATTTAGTTGTGAAGCCAATTCCTGATCGGAAATGTGGTTCTGGTCAAGCCTTTCTGTGGTGGGGGGGGGGGGGGGGGGGGGAGAAGACAAACTGTAGCTTCTCACAATAAGGATTTGGCTCGTGCCAACGTGAGAAGCTTCATTGTCAACAACACCTTAGTCAATGGCCACCGACTGAATGTAAAACCAAAGCAGACGGGTCTTGTTCCCTGACTGAGAGAGGGTGTAGCTTCTAGTAATGTTTCGCTGCTCGGATGTTGCAGCTTGAGCTAAGATAAAGGACTATAAGAAGGCACAAAGAGGAAACGCCTCCTCTCACAGGCACACACATCAGTGACATAAAGAGTATACAGCTTGGCTGATGGCAGGTTTGCTCTCCAACAAATCTTGTAAACGGTTTGTGGGTCACAGTTGAAGTGGGGTCCCCGTCAGGATCCCCCCAGTTCGAGGTAACGGCACGTATTGGTGTTTGCTGCCCAACCTCAGGGAACCATTGAGGTAAGTTTTTCTGTTTTTTTGTGATAAAGTTTTGTTCCCCCCAAAAGCGTTTGGTCCACAGACAACACATTTCATTACGTTACTGAAAATCCAATTTGTTGCAACACCAGAGCTGAGAGATTGTGTCTTCAGTCGACCATTATTACTTTCATTTCTCAATGGCGTTGGAGGCTGCTGTACCGGAGGCTTAATTTCTTATGCTATATTATTGGAATAAATGAATTGCAACATACTTTCTTCAAGAAAGTCTATATGCTTCATGAAGACAGGTACTGGTGTGTTGGCATTATTACACCAGTGTAAAATAAGTTTTATCCAAATATTTAAGGCTATAACTTCTAAAACTAGGCGCTCCTACAATCACAAAAGGTGGACGTACGTCTACTGGGGTAGTTTGGGTATATTAGTAGAGCTCATCTCTGCAGAAGTGGTATCTGTGGATGTGTTTGGGGGCAGGAATGGATTGTGTTGTTAATGATTGGTTGGCAGCAGGTGTTGCCGTTGAGCGTGCTCGATGATGGCGGTGTAACAGAAGTAGTATTGGTCGGGGGTCTGAATACTGAACGCTCTCTGGCCTCGCATCCTCCTCACGGTTTGGTAAACATTGAGCGTTCCCACATCCTGCAGCTGAGAAAGGCAGATATCCAGCGTACACAGGGTCCCTAGCGAAGAAGAAAATGGATGGAGCATCAGAGAAGTGAATTAACAGAACTATATTCTGCATTAGTGGTTAGCAGGCTCGGCTCGCAAGCGGGAAGACCCTGGACAGGGCGAAACCCCAGGCGAGTTTCCTTACTCCACATGCCTCTGTTTACCAGCAGTAAGTCGGAAGCTGACAATTTGATCATCTCTATGCCACCCCCACCCTCGCTCCCACCCTCAGCTCGGGTGCCCAGCCAGGATTGTTAAGTGCCTTGAGATGTCCTCCCAAGGTGAAAGGCGCTGTGTAAACGTAAATTTGTATCGTATCTAAAAAGTGCTTCACAGGATTTTTCTGTAAATTATATTTTATAGAAATCATGCTGAAAGTCATAGTATGAACTCACTTAAAATGAACCCTTTTGCTGTCACAATCTGCCTCCCAGCTGCCTGGATCATTGCGTTGACATTGTCAAGGTGACAAGCTCCTTCTGCCTGCAGCAATCACCTCAGTGAAGCTAAGATAAAAACAGAAATCACTGGCAACACTCAGCAGGTCAGGCAGCATCTATGGAGAGAGGAAAATGAGTCAACATTTCAGGTCGATGACCTTTCGTACTGACAAAAGGTCATCATTCTGACAAGAGGTCATCGACCTGAAATGTTAACTCACTTTCCTCTCTCCATAGATGCTGCCTGACCTGCTGAGTGTTCCCAGTGATTTCTGTTTTTATGTCAGATTTCCAGCATGTGTAGTGCTTTCCCTTTTGGGAGCTGCCTTGCCACTAGATGTCACCAGACACGAGAGCAGCTGAAGGTTTGGGCAGCCTTTCTCCAGACACTGATAGTCACATTACTGAACCATGGCAACAGCAAACAAAAGTCAGGAGTGTCACTGTGCAGAACCATGCCAACTTCCATGACATAGAACAAGTGGACACCAGGTTAGAGCTGTAAAGGGCAATTTCAGGACAGACACCAGGAAGATTTTCTTTACTAAGAGGGTAATTGATAACAACAAATTACATTTAAACTGTGCCTTTCACATTGAGAGGATGTCCCAAGGTGCTGGACAGTCAGGGATTTGGACCTGAGCTGGGGATTGGGAACAAGAGGGGTGGAGAGCAGGGAGGGTGATGGGTCTTGAAGGAAACAAGGGAGGGAGCAAGGCAAAGGGAATATAGGATGGAATTCCAAAGGGTGGGAGCAGAGAGGCTGAAGGCCTGATTGCCGATGGTGGGGAGGGTGGGCGTGGTTATAGGGCACTATATAAACGCAAATTGTTGTTGTTGTTTCAAACTAAAGTGAGAATGGGGACGGGAATCCCAGCTGGACAACTAGTGCAAGGCTTGCTTGGTAGTGACTGCAGTTCAATCAGCTGAAACCACTGTGAACACTAGCTATCTAGCTTCTCACAACACACATTCTGGGATCCCCAAACCTTGGCTACTGCCAACCTGCGCCTCATAGTCTCTGGGCTTAAATGAGTCAGGCAAGTCCCTCCTGGAGGGGGTGGGCATTCCATATTGGATAAATAAAGTTCTGCGTACCCAGTGGTTTGGTTAGGACACGCTAAGCATTTTAGGGGAGTCCAACAAGTACTATTGTCATTTTTCTTGTGTTTACATCACACAAACATACAGTCAATTCACTTTACAGTATATTCTGTGAAGCACTTTGAGATGTCTAAAAGACGTGAAAAGCGCTATATCAAATGCAAGGATTATTATTATTTATTATTATTGATTTGTTACATCTCTCAGAGCAACCAGAATGGACACACACCCACCCCACACATACCACTCTCCCACACACACTACTCCCCTCCCACACACACACACCCACCACTCCCCCCCACCACACACACACCACACACATACCCACCCACCTCCACCACACTCAAGACACAACCACACTCATACACCCCCCCCCACCCCACACACGCACCACACATATCCACGCACCATACACACCACCCCCCACCCCCCTGACACACACGCCTGTTTGTGGGGGCTCTGCTGTGTGCAATTGGCTGCCGTATTTCACCCACAAAATATAGTCACTGCACTTTACAGTGTATTCTGTGAAGCGCTTTGAGACGTCTCAAAGATGTGATAAGGCGCTGTATCAAATGGGAGAATTATTATGATGATGATGATGAGGCTGACTGTCTATACCGTACCAGTTCTCCCAATGCCAGCACTGCAATGCACTAGGATGGGGGGCCCTCCTGGGTGCCCCCGCCAGCCTCCGCTCACAGCCCGCACACACAGCTCCTGCTGCCGCCGCACCGCCGAGCGGAAGTCAATGAGAGCCGCGGCTGAGGAGGGAACTCCATAATCAGGCCAACTCAGGTACTGGAAATGGATTACCTTCCGTCCTTCATAGGTCTGAGACACAAGAAAAACAGCGGGCTTCAATATCTTATGGAAGCAGATTCCACAGCAACTTTCAAAAGTGGGGGTGTGGGGCTAGTGGGGGAAAGAGTGGGGGAGTGGGCCTGCTTGGTTAGCTCTTTCAAAGAGCCTCATAGGCCAGCGCCCCAATGGGAAACGTGTGGACACAGAAATCAGGGAGGAGAGGGTCGGGCGAGGCTGTCGGGCTAGGCTTAATCCCTCGCTCTGTAGGAAAAGGACAATGTTTTGGCTGAACCGGTGAGGGCGGCCGACATGAGATCCTGCCCAGGACAGGGAAGGTGGAGGAGGGGAAGAGGAGAAACCACTTCTGTGTAAAGTCACCACCCCACCCAGCCGACAACACCTGTGGATTTGTCATATTATAGGATGGTTTTATAGCAGTTCTTCATTTCCCTAAATCATAGAAACATAGGAACAGGAGTAGGACGTTCAGCCCCTCGAGCCTGTTCCACCATTCTATAAGATCATGACTGATCTGTACCTCAAGTCGAATTACCCAACCTTGCCCCATATCCCTCGATACTCTGAGCCATCATACATGACGGCCAAATCCAGAGCTACAGAATGGGAGTCACTCACTGAGGTTTAATGAAGCCAAGGAAGTGTGTGGTTCAGGTCAAATCCGTCACTGATATTCATAAACTGAAGCAGTGTGAGGCGGGCGAGATGACAGACTCCCAGTGGGAAGCAGTGTGAGGCTTGTAGGTGAATGAAACAGGTTTTCCTGTCCTGCCGTTTGTTCGTTCATTCAATCAATAACAAGCAAATCAATGTTTAATCTCTGTAAAAATAATGATGTCTTACCTCTCCATTGCGGATCTCAAGTGTGGTTTTGTTATAATGCTTGAAGATTTCTACTGACATGTTTCTGACAGAAATCAGTCCGTAGTTTCCCTGTGTGTGCTGCTCCAGCGGCCAGTACTGCCCACATTTCTTCCGACCGCTCTCATCCACTCTGCAGGGGCACATTACACACATCAGTGTGCAGAGAGAACACAACCCACTCTGTACAAGTGATTTTGGCACCAGATAAAAACATAAGTATTTGCTGGTGAATGAAGATCAAGGTCCATCTCGTTCCCCTCCACCATCCTGGCAGTCACGGACATGTCGTGTCCCAAACTATACACTGTTTCCCCAGATATTATTTTCTAGCAGAAATCTTATCTAATTTGTTCTTGAGACAAACATGTTCTGCTTCCACCGTCTGTCTCCCTACGGAGTCTGTTCCATAAGTTTACTACTCACTCACTGAAGTAGTTTTTCCGCAGATTTGTTCTGAATTTACCCCCTTCAATCACAGGTCGTGTCCTCTGGTTCTACTGTTCAGTACAAGACAAAACAACTTATCAGGGTCTACATTATATCTATAATTATATTTATATATAGATATTTTTCTTTATTGGGTGGTGGGGANGGGGGCAAGTGGGAGCTGAACTGGCTCCAAGGTGACATGTTTGGCAATGGAATGTGAGAATTGAGTCCACTCTCTGTGATATTCTCTAGTCAGATTCCTGAGTCAGGTGGGGCCGCAGTATTCCAGGGCGCAGCCTGGTTCATCGGCAGGACTTGGAAGGGCAGACCAGTCACTAGGGCAGGGAATCCTCACACTCAGCTCCTGTTAATTCTACAGGCCAAAGCCCTACCCCTAATAATAATAATAATAATAATAATCCTTGCATTTGATATAGCGCTTTTCACGTCGGGAGGACGTCCCAAAGCGCTTCACAGAACACACTGTAAAGTGAATTGACTGTGTATTTGTGGGCGAACGCGGCAGCCAATTGCGCACAGCAATGTCCCACAAACAGTCTTAGATTGAAAATGACCAATTTATTATTGTTTTGTTTTGGAGGGATTATTATTAGGCTCTGTGTGGAGTAAGGAAACTTGCCCAAGGTTTCGCCCTCTGCCTGGAATTGAACTCAGGTCTCTCACTTGCAAAGCGAGTGCTCTAACCACTGAGCTACAAGACTCCACGAGTGGTGGTCCTAACTGGACGACCAGTGGGAAAGCTTGCTCTTGATGGAAGTGATGTAGTTTTAGCTGGTTAGACTCCACCAATTATCCCAATGCACACTCTGGGGTCCAAAAGCCTTGGCTCTTGCCAACCTGTCCCTGATACTTTCCGTGTTTAGGTAAGCAGGAAAAGTCCCTCCAGAGAGAGAGAGAGAGAGAGCGCGCATTCCATTCCAGACGCAGGGAAATTCCCAAGTGTGGGTGGGATGCATAGAATTCTCATGGAATTGAGTTTTCAGTCCGCCGCCCGCATTCTCACCCACACTAAACTCTGCACCGATTACCCCAGTCCTTGCCAAACTCCACTGGCTCCTGTCACAGAGCGGATCGACTTCAAGATCCTCTCTCTAGTGTTTAAAACCCTCCACGCCTTGGCCCCCACCATCTCTCCAACCTCCTCTCTCCTCACAGCAGTACCCGCTACCTCTGCTCTACTGGCTCCAGCCTTGTCCTTGTCCCTCGAATCCTCCACTCCACCATCGGCGGCCGTGCCTTCAGCCACTACGCTCCGAAGCTTTGGAACTCCCTCCCTCAATCCCTTCGCCTTGCCCCCTCTTTAGGTTGCGCCTGAAGATCTTCCTCTTCGACCGCGCTTATGGTCACCTTCCCCCTCCCCCCGGCTCGGCATCGGGCTCCACCATTGTTAAGCTCTCTGGGAAGTCGCCTGGAGTGGGGGCGCTATATAAATGCAAGTTGTTGTTGTTCTTGGGTTGAATATTCTTAAGCATGATGATGGGTTTTTACGTGTGTCAGACACCCGGCTGATCAAGACATGTAATGAGAAAATGGCAGACTTTCTGGAAGCCAGAATGGGTGTATAAACACATAAAAAGCTTCAATAAGAGGAGGCATGAAACTCTGGTTTCACCATCGTAAGAAACCGGAGTTTAGCAAGACATTAAGTCTCTGTAATGGATTCTGCTCCCCTCTCTCAAATTCCCTTTGACTCGCTCCCTTCCTCCCCTTGTTCAAGACAGGTTTCAAAATCTACCTACTTGACTGTGCTCTTGATTCCCGTTCCCATTCTCCCCGCTCCCACCCCACTACAGCTCTGCCAAGTGCTTTGAGATGTCCTCCCAACATGAAAGGTGCTGTATCAACTGTAAAAGACAGTTTTAGAGGAAAGTGAGTCAACGTTTCAGCTCAATGACACTTTCCTCTCTACATAGATGCTGCCTGACTTGCTTAGTGTTCCCAATCACTTCTGTTTTGATTTTGTGTCCATTGTAATGTATTTTAAATGCATCACTGACACTCCAAGCCTTTCCCCTTGCATACAGTCTCACGTTGTGCCAAGAACAAAGTTTCCCAAGAAAAATGATGCAATGCTAATCGCTGTACTGACTGTATGGAGCGAGAGAGTGCCAGACCGGTGTCACTGAGAGCACAAAGCCATTTAGTCCACTCAGTCCCTCAATTCAGAAAACTGAAACTAACTTACAACACAACGTTAAATTCTTGGAACTCTTGATACTGGGGGAGCAGCGTAAGCCACAGGCAACCGAGGCTTGTGATAAATAGCCTGTCTCACTCTATGTCACTTACCGTGTTGTCATGACAATGACCAGGACATTCTGCTCCCAAACCATTCTCCAGAAATCATGATAGGTCTTCTCTAAAGGTCCTAGAGTAGAAAGTACAGGATCTTAATACTAATCGTCACAGGTAAAGAAACTATTTCCTCTAGTAGAGGAATCCAGAACTAGGGGCATCATCTTAAAATTAGAGCCAGGCCATTTAGAAGTGAAATCAGGAGGCACTTTATCATACAAAGTCTCGTGAAAATCTGGAACTCTCTGCCCCAAAGGGCTATGGATTATGGCTGGATCTATTCACATTTTCAAGATTGAGGTGGATCGATATTTATTAGGTCAGAGTATTAAGGGATACAGGGCAAGGGTGGGTAATTAGACTTGAGGTTCAGAATGGCCATGATCTTGTAGAATGGCGGAACAGGCTCGAGGGGCTGAATGACCTACTCCTGTTTTTATGTTTCTATGTTGAGGAGAACCATTCCTATAATAATTACTACACTGATCACACTGTTTCCCTGGTTCGCAGGTCCCACCAGCTCTGATCACCTTTGTTCCCAGGCCACGGTGAAAGATCCATTCTGCAGGGCTTGGTTTCCAAACCAGCCTGTGACTCAGGATAGAATGGTAAACCAACACTGAGAGTGAGGAAGGAGTTCTCTGATCGCTGGCTGGTCACCTTAGGAGCCATATCAATAAGCAGGGAGGAAAGATGCCACGTCTGTTTGAGCTCCATATTTAAGTGAAGGTTGATATCATAAGATTAACATATTTCATAGTACAACATTTCATATCCAAATTAATTATATTGAGGCTTTCAATGGATCTAAAACAGTATATAATTACAGTATACTCCTGATAACTCGTCACTCCAAGGGAAAGGGCTCAGTGACGAGTTATCAGGAGTTAGGCATATGTATAAATATATCAATAAATGCGGCCAGGATATTGACCACATGATGACTTAAGTGGTAGTGACAAGTCAAAATAGGGTTGAGTTATCAGCAGTTTTCTGTGTAACAAAATGAAATCTTTCCCACACAAATTAACAATTGGCTGAAGATAATAGCCTTTACCTTGTGTGCCAATAAAAGCATTCTTTTGTTTGTAACCATCCATGAAACTGGCATTGATGTAATCCGTCCTCTGTAGGAAGAACAAAAGCACAGGTTACTAATAATGATACAAATCATAAGCTGTTTTATCTTGAACTGAATAGTGGAACCAGAGGAGATCGCCTGCGATTGAAGGGGGTAAATTCAGGACAAATCTGCAGAAATACTACTCCAGTGAGTGAGTAGTAAACGTATGGACCAGGCTCCCGAGGGAGACAGATGGTGGAAGGAGAAAATCTTGTTTGTTTCAAGAACAAATGAGATCGATTTCTGTTAGAAAATAATATCTGGGGAAACAGATATAGTTTGGGACACGACATGTCAATGACTACCAGTATGGTGGAGGGGAACTAGATGGACCTTGATCTACTTTCGCCAGCAAATACTTATGTTCTTACTACGATGTACAACCACTGAACACAAATAGTGAGGGTTGGGGTAACTGCTGGAGTCTAACCAGCTAAACCCACACAGCTTGCCATTGGGAGCACTGTCTGGTAAATTACAATTAGAATAGACTGTTCAAACAAATATAATCTGGGGATTTAAAACAAAATCCACTTTATAACAGCAGTTAATCTGACTGGTTCCTTAAAACAGCCCTATCCTCTCTCTCTGAGCTCCCACAACACTCCTATTCACCTATCATTTCTTTGACTTTGGTTGACTTTTTCTTATTCAAAAAGAGAAAAAAAATTGGCTTTTTGCTTATTGAGCTTCAAGGCAGGAGCCCAGAGTACAGATGTGTGCTGTTCCTCCCTACCTCTCCGACATGCTTATCCCCAACCTACTACCCGCTGCCTCCGCTCAACTGGCTCCGGCCTTCTGCATGTGCCTCATGCCCTCTGTTCCACCATCGGTAGCCACGACACCCTGAAATTCTGGAAAACTCTTCCTCTATCCCTCCCTCTGCTTTGATTTTCCCCTTCCTTCCCCATCTTCAGGTCACGCCTGAAGACCTTCCTGTCCAAAGTGGTTAGAGCACTCGCTTTGCAAGTGAGAGACCTGAGTTCAATTCCAGGCAGAGGGCGAAACCTTGGGCAAGTTTCCTTACTCCACACAGAGCCTAATAATAATAATCCCTTCAAAAAAAACCCAAAAACAATAATAAATTGGTCATTTTCAATCTACGACTGTTTGTGGGACATTGCTGTGCGCAATTGGCTGCCGCGTTCGCCCACAAATATACAGTCAATTCACTTTGCAGTATGTTCTGTGAAGCGCTTTGGGACGTCCTCCCGACGTGAAAAGCGCTATATCAAATGCAAGGATTATTATTATTATTATTAAACCTAAGGTCACATCCCCCCTCCCCCCAGCTCAGTGCTGTGCTCCACCACTGTCAAAGCTCTGGGACGCTGCCCTGCGTGAGGAGTGTTATATAAATGAAGTTGTTGTTGTAAAATACACTGGAGTTCTAACTGCTAATAATAATCCTTGCATGTGATACAGCACCTTATCACACTGTTGAGAGGTCTCAAAGCGCTTCACAGGATTTACTCTGAAGTGGTGTGACTGTGCATTTGTAGACAAACAAGGCAGCCAATTTGCGCATAGCAGTGTCCCACAAACAGCAATGGAGCGAGTGACCAATTTTATCTGGGCCAGGACACAGGGAGAAAAAAACAATATAATATTGTTATATATTATATTAATATATATTATATTATAGAAGCTCCTGTCTCTTTGTGACAATAAATGTGATCTATTACACTGAGTTGCATGAGCTACGGGTGGGAGAATGCATGCATGTGGAGCACTGAATAGGTACTTGACACCATAACCTCTGACAGAGGCGAGAGAGCTCCCAACCCAGCCGGGCTGACACCCACCAACCCAACCGGGCTGACACCCACCAACCCAGCCGGGCTGACACCCACCAACCCAGCCGGGCTGACACCCACCAACCCAGCCGGGCTGACACCCACCAACCCAGCCGGGCTGACACCCACCAACCCAGCCGGGCTGACACCCACCAACCCAGCCGGGCTGACACCCACCAACCCAGCCGGGCTGACACCCACCAACCCAGCCGGGCTGACACCCACCAACCCAGCCGGGCTGACACCCACCAACCCAGCCGGGCTGACACCCACCAACCCAGCCGGGCTGACACCCACCAACCCAGCCGGGCTGACACCCACCAACCCAGCCGGGCTGACACCCACCAACCCAGCCGGGCTGACACCCACCAACCCAGCCGGGCTGACACCCACCAACCCAGCCGGGCTGACACCCACCAACCCAGCCGGGCTGACACCCACCAACCCAGCCGGGCTGACACCCACCAACCCAGCCGGGCTGACACCCACCAACCCAGCCGGGCTGACACCCACCAACCCAGCCGGGCTGACACCCACCAACCCAGCCGGGCTGACACCCACCAACCCAGCCGGGCTGACACCCACCAACCCAGCCGGGCTGACACCCACCAACCCAGCCGGGCTGACACCCACCAACCCAGCCGGGCTGACACCCACCAACCCAGCCAGGCTGACACCCATACCACCACCAACTTGCTACACAAGTCCCCATCATGTGACAGGAAGAGGAAGTGATGGACATCACCACAGTAAAATGACCACATTTGATCACGGTGAAGTGTGCCAACTAACAAGTGTTTACTGACAAAATAAAGCTGCTTTACACAAATAACTCACTCTAATAAACAATCAATTTCACCAGAAGCAAAGGTGCAGAATTTGGCTTCCATCTGAAGATGGAATTGTAATTAAACTTAGGCCGGAGTGTCTCCTGCTTGTTGTGACTACAGCAAACAATAATAATTAGGAGGCCTGTGGCTCAGTGGTTAGAGCACTCGCCTTGCAAGCGAGAGACCCCGGATTCAATTCCCAGGCAAGTTTCCTTACTCCACACACACGCCTCTTCAGTAAGTAGGAACCCGGGTGTTAGTCTATTGGCAGATCGTTTTTTCAGGGCTAATAATCCCTTCAAAATAAATAAATAAAAATAAAATAATAATAATTTGCTCACTCAATCCCTGACTGTTTGTGAGACGCTGCTGTGCACAATTGGCTGCCGTGTTTCGCCCACAAAATATACAGTCAATTCACTTTACAGTATGTTCTGTGAAGCGCTTTGAGACGTCTCTACAGTGTGATATGGTGCTGTATCAAATGCAAGGTTATTATTATATTAATTATTAATAATCCTTGCATTTGATACAGCACCATATCACACTGCAGAGGCATTTCAAAACCCGTTAGTTAGTTGAGATCAAAGTGCTATACTCCTCAGGTGCTGTTGGTGGCGCCATTCTGCAAGTCACCCCCAACACAAGCCAGGCTTCAGATATCGAGAAGTGGAACTCCAGGAGCAGGACAGCTACAAAAACAGTCACTCCACTCCACAGTATTTACCTCCGAAGCGCTCTGAGATTGTTTTAATATTACAAGCAACAACAACTTGCATTTATATGGCGCCTTTCAAGTCGGGAGGACGTCCCAAGGCGCTGGAGTCTCTACTCCTTTTTGACATGCCTGTATTAGAAACGTAGAAATAGGTGCATGCTATTCAGCCCCTCGAGCCTGTTCCGCCAGTCTATAAGATCACGGCTGACTTATACCTCAAGCCCAATTACCTACCCTTCACCATATCCCCTGATACCCTGACCTAACAAATATCTATCCGCCTCAGTCTTGAAGATGTGAATGGATCCAGCCATAATCCACAGTCTTTTGAGGAAAAGAATTCTGGATTTCCACTACTTTTTGTCTGAAAAACTGCCTCTTGATGCCACTTTAAGCTCTAATTTTAAGACGATTCAAGTTGGAAGTTGTGAATGAGCCTCACTCGATCTAGACTGAGCATCTTGCTGGAGTTTGAGTAAGTGTTGACTGAGTTGTGAGCATTTGTTCACAAACAATACCACTTGATTAAGGTTCTAGATGTAGAGGATAGAATAGTGGAGGAGTTTACTTTGCCAATGCAACTCTGAACTATTGAGATTTATAGCACAGAAGGTCATTTATAACTGTGCTGAAAGAGCAATCTGCTCAGTCCCATTTACATGCCTTCCCTCCCCTCAAAATACTGCACTTTCCTCCTTTTTAGGGATCTGTCAAGTTCCCTCTTGAAAGCTAATTCTGCCTTAAGCACTGCAGCCAACAGGTCATTCCATGTCCTAATAACTCTTTGTGCAACTAAACTGCTCTTAATATCCTCCTTTGTTCCCACTATGCCCCAAAACTCTGGAACACTCTCCCTCAATCCCTCCCTCTCTCCCTTCTTTCAGGTCCCACCTGAAAACCTTCCTCTTCGACTGTGTTTATGGCCACCTTCCGCGGCTCGGAGTCAGGCTCCGTCACTGTTTAGCGCTCTGAGACGCTATCCTGCGTGGAGGGTGCTATATAAGTGCAAGTTGTTGTTGAGGCACTGACACCTTCTTATGGAGCCTTCTGGTTCATTATACGTTTTAAGATATGAATTTCAAAGAGTTTGTATAAACTCTGTACAATCCACTCCTCCTGCTACAGCTCCGAGTGAAAGACAGATTATAGGTACTGACCAACTAAGTGGGCAATTCTCATCTGTCACATTACACAATCTCTAGTTGAACACTTTTGGTTGGGATGGGGGGGCGCGAGGGGGAGGTTAGTCACAGTAACACCACTTTTTTTTAAACTGGGGAAAGAGAATAAATAGGCAAACTCAGAATTTCCCTAGCACAGCTTCAAACTAGTCCTATCCTGTGTCAGGATGGCTCAGTCAGAAGCACTCTTGCCTCAGTGTCAGAAGGTTGTGGGTTCAAGTCCCCACGTCGAGACTTAAACTCACATAGTCCAAGTTGGATACGCTTTAAGAAAATAAGGACCAACTAACTCAGACCAATGAAAGGAGTTCAGGAGATAGGAAGTAGGGAGAACTGACTGAAAGGTTTTTGGTTGGATTGTTTGATTTGTAACTTATGAGCTGAGAATAAAACAGTTGTCTATACACTGAGTGTTGAGAACATAAGTCTACACTGACACTCCACAGCAGTGCTGGGGGAGGTTGCATTGTCAGAGGTGC